GATCCCAGAAGCCAGGATTAAGTCCTGCATCAGGCTCCCCATGAGGACCTGCTTCTCCCTCTGCCTGTGTCTCTGCCTCTCGATCTGTGTCTCTCATAAATAAATAAATAAAATCTTTTAAAAAATCACAAAGATTATCTAGCTTAAAAAATACCATTTTATGCTCCAATGCACTTATAAAATGTTTTTAGGGGGATCCCTGGGTGGCTTAGTGGTTTAGTGCCTGCCTTTAGCCAGAGTGTGATCCTGAAATCCCAGGATTGAGTCCCGCATGGGGCTCCCTGCATGGAGCCTGCTTCTCCCTCTGCCTGTGTCTCTGCCTCTCTCTCTCTCTCTGTCTCTCATGAATTAATAAATAAAATCTTTTTTAAAAAATATAAATAATTAATTGAAATGAGCAATAGACAATGAATGTTATATTCACAGAAGCTCAACGTAGCTTTCAGGGAAAGGTGAGAATTGAACTACACCTACTTAGCCAAATACTGGGAGTAAGGAAGAAAGCTCCAGGCACAGAGTTTGGCATAAACAGGAAGGAAGAAGAAAAAGGAAAAGACTGGATCAACAAGAAGAGTATATTTGTCAGCACAGTAGCAAGAAATAAAGGTGCAAATGTGACCACTTGTGCACTCTTGAATATCAGGTCACTTGAAACATGGAACAACAGAAAGTTTTTTTTTTTTAAACAAAGTTTTTCATGAGAACATTGTTACAATAAAAAATTTCACAACAAAAAAAAAGAAAAAAGAAAAAAGAAAAAAATTCACAACAAAATAAGAATGAAACAAGAATAACCTAGACTGTAATACTGGCTGTGGAAATAAACTGCATAAGATATATATGGAATACATTCAAGAAAGAATGTAGAATGGGACGCCTGGGTGGCTCAGCAGATGGGTGGTTGCCTTCGGCTCAGGTTGTGACACCGGGGTCCCAGGATCGAGTCCCACGTCGGGCTCCCTGCATGGAGCCTTCTTCTCCCTCCGTCCATGTCTTTGCCTCTCTCTCTCTGTGTCTCTCATGAATAAATAAATAAAATCTTTAAAAAAAAATTATAGCTAATCATGTCAAACAATACATAAAAAGAATAAGACATAATGACTGAGTGGTATTTATCCTGTGAATGCAAGTTTGGCCTAACATCCAAAAACAAAATCAATTTAATTTACCACACTAAAAGACTGAGAAAAAAAATTATGATTCCAACAAATGAAGAAAAATTGACAAGATTCAACACTCAGTCATAATAGAAATTAAAAGGAATATCTTCCACCAAATTAATGGCATCATCCTCAACAATGAAAAGCTCAATGCTTTCCCATGAAGATCAGGAATGACCAAAGAAGTTTGCTCTCACAATTTCTATTCAGAATCATACTGGATATCCTAACCAGTAAAATGGAGCAAGAGAAAGAAATAAAAATCATATGCAAAAGAAAGAAAGAACTGTCATTACTTACAGATTTTATGATCATGTACAAAAAGATCGTAAAGCATCTGCAAAAATTCCACTAGAACTTAAAAGTGAATTCAACACAGTTAACATGACATAAAGTACAAAAATATATTTCTGTAGACTATCAATGAAAAAATAGAAAATAAAAAATTTTAAATCAATCTATAATAGCATCAAAAAGCAAAATACTTATGGGCACCCCAGTGGCATAGTCAGTTAAGTATCTGATTCTTGGTTTCTGCTTAGGTTATGATCTCAGGGTCATGAGACTGAGCCCTTCATTGGGCTCTGTGCTCACCACAGAGTCTGCTTGTCCCTCTCCCTCCTCCTATGCCCTTCCCTCTCTACCTTTCCCCTACTCCATGCACATACATGCACAGGCATGTGCTCTCTCTCTCTCTCTCTAAAATAAATAAATAAAGTATTTTTAAAAAGCAAAATACTTAGGAATAATTTTTTTTAATTGTGCAAGAACTGAACACTAAAAACTACAAAAAGTTGCAATGGAAAATGAAAGGAAGAATAAATAAATGGACATCTATACCATGTTCATGGATTAGAAGACTGAACAACGTTAAGAAGGCAATTTTCTCCAATTTTCTCTAAAAGTTCAGTGCAATCCCATTAATTTCCAAGTAGGATTTCTGAATAAACTGATAAGCTGATTTTATAACTTACATAAAAATACAGAGAGAATAAGAAATACAATCCAGGGACACCTGGATGGCTCAACGGTTGAGCACCTGAGTATGGGGATCGAGTCCCACATCAGGCTCCCTGAAAGGAGCCTGCTTCTCCCTCTGCCCATGTCTCTGCCTCTCTCTATGTGTCTCTCATGAATAATAAATAAAATCCCTAAAAAAAAAGAAAAGAAAAGAAAAAAGAAAAAGAAAAACAATCCAGAAAAAGAAGAACAAAAATGGAAGACTCACAATATCTGATGTCAAGACATACAATAAAGCTAGTAATCAAGACTGTGTGGTTAGGGCATAGGTCAATGGAACAAAACAGAAACCAATAATAATCTCATACTTTTACAGTCAAATGGTTTGTGGCAAAGGTACCAAAGGTAGTTCAATGGGGAAAGGATAGCCTTTTCAATAAATGTTGCTGAAACACGGTTATCTGTATTGAAAAAAATAAATAAATCTTGACCTCTACCTCATATCATACCCCAAATGAATCATAAACCTAAAGGTAAAAAACTATGAAAATCCTAGAAGAAAACCTAAGAAAAACTTTATAACTCCGAGTAAGAGAAGTATGTCTTAAACAGGACACCAAAAAAATGAACATAAACGGACAACAGCTAAGAGACAGAGATAAGTATCATAATTTAGTAATAAGACTGGCTTATTCTTTTTGGGCAGCTTTCATATTGCTTTGTTCATACCTCTTTTGCAGCCCTTATCACACCAAAATCATTTTTCATTAAGACAAAATAGACATAAATAAAAGACTCTATCCAATCACTGGAGCCCTTAGATGTTTACATAAAAAATTACCACAGAGACAGACAGAAATTGGAATTTATGCTTCCCCTCATTAAACTAGACAATACTGACATCTCAGAGAAACACTTCAGAAAAGCAAAATGATTATAATAAAAAAGTTAGAAAAGCCAAAATGAAAAGAAAAATGAATTGGTAAAATTTTAAGACATATCTTTAAGGCAAAAGAGTACAAGTGAGCCTTCTTTTACATACTGAGTATATTCCTAGAAAAAATAAGTATAAAATAAAGTTTTTATGAAATGAAAAAAACTATGCAGCAGTAGAAATTTCTTTATAAATTAATTTTATTATAAATCCCATTGGGTTTTTATTTTCTTATTTATCTGATAGAGCAAAAGATCTTCACTTACTATACAGGGAAAAAATCAGAAACTAAAACTTGATAGAAGTTACCTTAAAAGGTTCATTTTCACCTATAATCATAAAAGTGCACCTTTTAAAATCATTTTTTTGTGTTAAATCACAAGAGGTTAACAAAAGGAAGGAGAATGACACAGAAAAAGGAAAAAAGATAAACAGTTTTACAGTGTTCAAAATAGACAGTGCCTAGGTGGCAGCTGGTTAAGAAACTGATTCTTGGTGGTTTCAGCTAAGGTCATGATTTCAAAGTCATGGGATCAAGCTCCATATCTGAAGTCTACACGTAAAACTCTCACTCTCCCTCTCCCTCTGCCCCTCCCCATTGTGTTCTCTCTCTCTCTTTCTCTCTCTCTCTCTCTGAAATAAATGAATTTTTAAAAATATTCACAAATATAAGAACATAAAATATCCAGACCCAAAGAAAGAAGGAATGGAGATACTTAATTTGAAAATTAAGCTATTTATCAGGCTCACTGCATCAACCACAGGTTTAAAAAAAAAAAAAGGAAAAGAAAAAGAAAAAGAGAAGACACTAGCTAAGTCTTGCTGGAATAGTTTACTAATTTGTACCTTTAATAAAAATGTCACAATCACAGCTATTATTTATCAAACACATACCATGTACAAGTAACAAATTATCTCTCTTAAGTAGCCTTAAAAGAGAGGTATTATTATCCCATTTATCTTAACCCCAGAGGGGTTAAAAAGCCATACTGTTATTAGCAAAAGAGAAAGAATTTTAACCTGGGTCTGTCCTTTGATAACTGCATTCTAACTCCCAAATGGTGTCATATAACAATTTTTTAAAACAGATTTTGTTTAGTTTACGATAATTATAGTTATAAAAGAACTCTTTTTAGGAATTACAAAATACTAAAAAATTCATGAAGCAGCAGCAACACTGGAAATTCCACTGAAAGAGGTCAAAAGTACCCATCAGAGTTAAAGTATAAATTAATATGATTATGACATTAATAAGACAATAAAAATATTTTTTAAATCTCTAGCAAATATCCATTAACTTTGTTAACATAACAGAAAGCCACGAATGGGATCAAATGCTTTTGTGGTTCAGTAAAAAAAATATCTCAAACATTTCAGTACATCTTAGGAAACTTTTTCTAAAATAGACTGGGGGTTAGATGGTAAATAGGCACACTGGAAACAAAGTATATACAAAACAAAGATAATTCAAGCCTTAAACCATTCAAGGGAACAGAGATCATTAAAATGATGTATTCATGGAAAAAACTGTTTCTCCGATTAAATATCATTCTGAAAACAAGTAGTCATTGACAAGGAATATTAAAACTAATTATTTTCAACTTTTTTCAAGAAAAAAAAGAAACCATTCCCATATAAACATCTGTGCAAAAAGGAAATGTCAAAACCTATGCAAATGACTAACATGTATCTTATTAAGGAACTAGTGGGGGAAAAAATGCCAATTTCAAATATACAGGAAAAGAATTAAACTTGAATATGGAGAGTACAGTTTCAAAGCATTAAAAGGGGAAGCCATTCAACTAGTGTACCAGCTCAATGAGGCCATTCTACACTTTGCTGATTTACAGACTATTAAAATATTAATAACTACAAATTCAATTAAATGTTACATTAAAATAAGAAATCAGCACAAATGATTCTATGAAATTAAATGATATTTCTACCTTTGGCCATTTGGGATTGAGAAGTCGAGCTTTGATTGCATCATCCAGTGCCTTGTCATACTGCTGGATTTTCATATAGGCTGCAGATCTATTGCTGTATAAGATGCAGTTCTGTGGGTCAACAGCCAGGGCTTCATTGTACAGAACAATAGCTGTGTGAAAATCACCATCATGACAGGCCTGGTTACTCTGACGAACCTTCTCAACAAATTCAGCTTTGCTCAACACTGGTCCATCGGGACTTCTCCGACCAATAGTCTTAGCACCAAAGAGAGGAATCTACAAAGAAAGAAACTTTGTCAGATAATCCAGATGGTTTCCTTTTCTGAACTTCAAGAGAACAGGGACATTCTTCATAGACTGCTTTACAAAGAAAACTTTTGTATCCTGAAAGACAAGAAACTTTCCAAGAAGCACCTAACATAGTACCTTGAATGCATATGCATATATATATATTTTTTTAAGATTTTATTTATTTATTCATGAGAGACAGAAAGAGAGAGGCAGAGACATACGCAGAGGGAAAAGCAGGCTCCCTGCAGGGAGCCCAGTGTGGGACTCGATCCCGGGACTCCAGGACCATGCCCTGAGCCGAAGGCAAGGTTCAACCACTGAGCCACCCAGGTGTCCCTGTTTTTATTTATATATATGGCTATAAACATATATATTTACATTTTTTTTATTGAGAGTGTGAATGAATGAATGTATGTAGAAGAAAGCTCGGGCTTTTCTTGGTAACTTACAGTTAATACTAAGGGAGGGCACCTGGCTGGCTCAGTTGGTACAGCATGGGACTCTCGATCTCAGGGTCCTGAGTTCGAGCTCCACATTGAGTGTAGAGATTATATACATACATATATACAGACAGACAGACAGACAGACATATGTAAAGTTATAGTAAGGGAAAGAATGCAAATATAAGCCAAGTAGAAAAATATGATCTCAATCATATTAAGATGGCTGCACTTAAAAAGATGAAAGAAACAAAATCAAAATATTAACTATGCTGAGTTATCTCTGAATATAAAATTATGGGTTATTTTTATTTCCTTAAAATTTTCTCTTATCCAAATGTTACACAATGAGCATATGTAAGTTTTAAATTTAAAAAAAAAAAAAAAACAACTTAGGGCAGCCCAGGTGGCTCAGCGGTTTAGTGCCGCCTTCAGCCCAGGGCCTGATCCTGGAGACCTAGGATTGAGACCCACGTCAGGGTCCTGCATGGAGCCTGCTTCTCCCTATACCTGTGTCTCTGCCTCTCTCTCGCTCTCTCTCTCTCTCTCTCTGTGTGTGTCTCATGAATAAATAAATAAAATCTTTAAAAAAAAACTTATAAGGGATCCCTGGGTGGCGCAGCGGTTTGGCGCCTGCCTTTGGCCCAGGGTGCGATCCTGGAGACCCGGGATCGAATCCCACATCGGGCTCCCGGTGCATGGAGCCTGCTTCTCCCTCTGCCTGTGTCTCTGCCTCTCTCTCTCTCTCACTGTGTGCCTATCATAAATAAATAATAAAAAAAAAAACTTATAAAACATAAATTTTAGGAGCACCTGGGTGGCTCAGTCAGTTACGCATCTGACTTTTTTTTTTTTTTTTTTTAAGCATCTGACTCTTGATCTCAACTCAGATCTTGATCTCAGGGTGGTAACTTCAAGCCCCAAATTGGGATCCACGCTAGGTGCAGAACCTACTTAAAAAAAAATAAATGGGATCCCTGGGTGGCTCAGTAGTTCAGTGCCTGCCTTCGGCCCAGGGTGTGATCCTGGAGTCCTGGGATTGAGTCCCGCATCGGGCTCCATGTATGGGAGGGAGCCGGTGTCTCTGCCTCTCTCTCTCTCTCTCTCTCTCTCTCTCTCTCTCTCTCTCTGTGTCTCTCATAAATAAATAAAATCTAAATCTTTAAAATAAAAAAATAAACACATAAATTTTAATGTGTCAAAGAATATTTATAGACTGGCAAATTTGGTAAATTGGCTATTACCATGGAATTTCAAGGAAAAATGTCAGTTTTTGAAAATCACCAAAAAGAAAAAGAAATCTACTGTAAACTGTATCTTGGCAATTTAAGACCTGTTTTTTATGTTGATTTTTTTCCAAATCATTAAGTTTTCTATGACTTAATTTAATAATAGTGACCTTAAAGCCAAAAGGAGTGAATGAGTCAAATGTTACTCATTTTTAAAACAGGAAAATTATGAACTGCATCAGAATCCCAAGAGAAGAAATTTAAGACAGCAGTATCCAGAGTGACAGTTCACAATTCTAAGAAGGCTAGCCCTAAGTAAAATTAAAAGTATAAAAGTGTAATCTGCTTCCCTGTGTCTTTAAGATTAAGTCCACTCCCTCCATTTAAGAGGACAGCAATATTTACAAAAAAATCAGACTCCTCAAAAAGATACATGCATTAAAAAGGACAAATTCCACAGAAAGGAGGAAGAAAGGCAGAGTTGATCTCCTAAATAGGCAACCACTATTCTTCCTGATTACAGGGAAATCATGTCCTAGATTTCCAGGACAATTTGAAATATTAAAATATCCTAGAAATTTCAAATATCAATATCCAAGTTACATACCTCAACTTTATGAACCAAGTGGCTAACTAAGAATGTATTCTGGCAGTTGTTTTAAATTATGATCATGAAACATATTGCTCAAAAATGAATGGACTGAGGTGCCTGGGTGGCTCAGTTGGTTAAGCCTCTGCCTTCAACTCAGGTCATGATATCAGGGTCCTGGGATCGACCCCTATATCTGGCTCCCTGTTCAAGGGGAGTCTGCTTCTCCCTCTGCCCCTCACCCTGTTCCTACTCTCTCTCCCTTACTCACTCTCTCTGAAATAAATGAATAAAATCTTTTTTTTTAAAAAAAGGAAGAATGGGATCCCTGGGTGGTGCAGCGGTTTGGCGCCTGCCTTTGGCCCAGGGCGCAATCCTGGAGACCAGGGATCGAATCCCACATCGGGCTCCCGATGCATGGAGCCTGCTTCTCTCTCTTCTCTCTCTCTCTCTCTCTCTCTCTCTCTCTCTCTGTGACTATCATAAATAAATAAAAAAAATTTTAAAAAAAATACTAAGGAATTCTAACATCATCATTACCACCAAGTGTCCACATATTGAAAAGAAAAAGGTACTCTAGTAAGTGTCCACAGAAACTTCTAATTTGTCAAAATATGTCTGTTCCTACCAAGATAGTGACAACATGGTCCTTAGGAGACTAATAAATAGTATTTTGTGTATAGTTAAAAAAAGGAATATAATTTACCTAGTTCCTCTTTATCTTCTCAGCTATTCATAAGCTCAGCATAACACAGAGAAAAAAAGACTCTGGCATATATTTTTCAGATTTTATATATATATGTATAATATAAAATATAATATATATAACTACAGATGTATAGCTGGCCATATTAAATTCAGAAACAACTGGAGTGAATAGTACTACTTATGGAAATTTTAAAAAATAAAGTAAAAAAATTTTTTAAAGATTTTATTTATTTATTCATGAGAGACACAGGAAGAGAGGCAGAGACACAGGCAGAGGGAGGTGACACAGGCTCAATGCAAGGAGCCCGATGTGGGACTCAATCCTAGGAATCCAGGATCACACCCTGAGCCAAAGGCAGATGCTCAACTGCTGACCCACCCAGACATCCCAAAAAATGAAATTTTGAATCACTAATTTAATTGCTTATGATATTTTCTTTCCTCATATATTTCTCATATTTACAGTTTATGGATGTCAACATATATTAACATTGTTACTTTTTTCTGACCTTCTGACAAACTCATCTTGAAATGGTGGTGGCAATTACACATAGATGAAACAGGCTCAAAATATTCAGCCACCACATACAATTATCAAACCATAATCATTCCATGCCAGTTATAAATTTTGATTATTCAAATGATATAGAAAAATATTTATCATCCTCTCTATTAAAAAATTATAGGTGAATCAAAGAATTAAATATTTAAAATTGTGAATTACTAAAATAAAACGGAAGAATTTTTCATTATATAAGCTGAAGGAGGCCTTTCTAAGCACAACAAAAAATCTAAAGACATAGTAGAAGGGCAGCCTGGGTGGCTCAGCAGTTTAGCGCTGCCTTCGGCCCAGGGTATGATCCTGGAGACCCAGGATCGAGTCCTATATTGGGTTCCCTCTATGGAGCCTGCTTCTCCCTCTGCCTGTGTCTCTGCCTCTCTCTCTCTCTCTCTCTCTCTGTGTCTGTCATGAATAAATAAATAAAATCTTTAAAAAAAATTGATCTGTCACTCATCTTTTTGCTTTTTTTAAATCTATTTTTCCATATAGATATTTAAAATTTTTATGTAGTCAAATTAATCAGTCTTTTCTATTTTTTGAAAACATATATTTTTTTATTTATTCATGAGAGACACAGAGAGAGAGAGAGAGAGAGAGAGAGAGGCAGAGACACAGGCAGAGGGAGAAGGAGGCCCCATGCAGGGAGCCCAACGTGGAACTCGATCCTGGGTCTCCAGGATCAGCCCTGTGACGAAGGCAGCGCTAAACTGCCAAGCCACAGGGGCTGCCTAACAAATCAATTTTTAAAAACTCTTGTGACACACAACAAAAGGCTCATTTTCTTACTATATAAAAATCTACAAATAGATAAGAAAAAAACAATCCAGTGGACATAGGAAAATTGAAGAAGGATATGTACAGACAGATCATAAGAAAGAAACTCCAAATGGCTTCTAGGCACATTATTTTTAATGTGTGACTTCATTTTTTTTAAGATTATTTATTTATTTATTAATTCATGAGAGACGCAGAGAGAGAGAGGCAGAGATATAGGCAGAGAGAGAAGCAGGCTCCACACAGGGAGCCCAATGTGGAACTCCATCCAGGAACTCCAGTATCTTGTCTTGGGCCAAAGGCAGGCACTCAATAGCTGAGCCATCCAGGCATCCCATGACTTCGGTTTTGTTTATTTATTAAAAGTAAGCTCTAGGCCCAACATGGGGATTGAACTCACAATCTTGAGATCAAGAGTTGTATGCTCTACAAACTGAGCCAGCCAGGCGCCCCATGACTACAGTTATTTTTGTTTTTTAAGATTTTATTATACATCTGTCAGAGAGAGAGAGCATATGCAGGGGAAGCAGCAGGAAGAGAGAAAGACAGGTTCCCCACTGAGAAAGGAGCCCAATGTGGGACTCAATCCCAGGACCCTGAGATCATGCATGACCTAAGCCAAAGGCAGATGCTTAACTGTATGAGCCACCCAAGCATCCTTCCTTCAGTTATTTTAAAAGAAA